CCTTTTTGCTTGTTTATTTTTATAAGATTCCACTTTGTCTTTCTTAGTCTGACTTATTTCACTTAGCATATTAGCCTCTGGGTTTATGCATGTTGCCTCAGATGGCATATTATCATCTTTATTTACCCAAAGAAAATAAAAACACTAATTTGAAAAGATATGTGCACTCCTATGATTTAAAAAAAATGCTTTAAATGTTTTTATTTTTGAGAGAGAGCGAGTGCAAGCAGGGAAGGGATAGAGAGAGAAGGAGGAGAGAATCCAAAGCAGGCTTTGTGCTGTCAGTGCAAAGCCCGATGGTAGGCCCGAACCCACAAATGGTGAGATTATGACCTAAGCTCAAGTCAGATGCTCAACTGACTGAGCCACCTGGGTGCCCAGTGCATCCCTGTGATTATTGCAGCATTATTTACAATAGCCAAGGTATGGAAGCAGCTTAAGTGTCCATCAGTAGATGAATGGATAAGGAGGATGTGAGGTGTGTGTGTGTGTGTGTGTGTGTGTGTGTGTATATACACATGTATGTGGGAAAATTATGCAGCCATAAAAATGGATGAAATATGACTCATTTTTGATAGTTTCTATTGTTATGTCTTCAAGTTTATTAATCTTTTATTCAGTGGTACCTAATCTGTTAATCCTATCCATTATATATTTCATCTCAGATATTACACTTTTCATCCTAGAAATTTGAATTGGATCTTTTTTAAATCTTCCGTGTTTTTTGATAGCATACTCATCTACCTTTCTTTCTTTTTTTTTTTTTTAAAGATTTTATTTTATTTTAAGTAATCTGTACGCCCAGTGTGGGGCTTGAACTCATGACCTTGAGATCAAGAGTCACATGGTTTATTAGACTGAGCTAGCCAGATGTTCCTCTTCTTACCTACCTTTTTGGAGTATAAAATGTAATTATAAACTTTTTATACCCTTGTCTCCTAATTCTGTCATCTGTTTTGTTTCTAGGTTGGTTTTTCTTATTATGAGTCATATTTTTCTGCTTTTTTACCTTCCCATTTATGTTTGATTGCATATCAGACATTGTGAATTTTTCCTTGATGGGTGCTGGGTATTTTTTATTCCCATAAATGTTTTTGAGCTTTGTTTTTGAAGGCAGTTAATTTACTTGTAAACAGTTTGATGTTTTTGAGGCTTGCTTTTAAGTCTAAACCTAAGCCTAATTTGGTCCCACTACTGAGACAGTATTCTTCTGAGTACTCTTATCTGATGCCTTGTGTATTATATTTTTTCATCCTGGCTGGTGGGAAGTGAAACGAGCTCCAGAGATACTGAAACTGTGGTTTGTTCCCCTGCCTCAGGTATTTCTTCACATGCATATGCTGAGAAGTACTCAGCTCAATACTCATGGAGGACCACTCTATAGATCCCTGGATCTGTAGATCCATGTTGCCATTTCCACAGCTTTCTTTTCTTCAGTATTCTGTTCTGTAAATTTTAGCCAGATTGGCCCCTTTGAACTATTCAACTCAGGAAAATTACTGGACTCTACCTGGATTCTCCCTCCCTGTAGTGGCAGTAGCTTATCATATTAGTTTTTGCCTTCATAGCGATCACTGTCTTTTGTTGCCTGTCGTTTAATACTATTGAAAACTATTTTTTTCATATATTTTGTGTACGTTTTTAGTTGTTTAAGATGGGAAAGGTAAATCCAGTCTACTATGTCATTTTGGTTCATAGTGGCGGTTTCTTAGAGGTAGAGAATAAATAGGTAAAATTAAAACAGATACATCAAGTGGCCAAAAGTACTCTGGGGAAACCTGAAGCAAGGAAGGGAGATGTAAACTATTAACAGAATTGTAATTTTAAAAGGGTAACAAGAAAGGAGTGCTTGGATGGCTTATTTGGTTAAGCATCAGTCAGACTCTTGATTTCGGCTCAGGTCATGATCTCCTGGTTTGTGGGCTCTGCACTGACAGCACGGAGCCTGCTTGGGATTCTCTCTTTCCCTGTCTCTATGCCTCTACCCCACTCTCTCTGTCTTTCTCAGTATAAAAAATGAACAGGGGAAAAAAAAAAAAGATGATGAGAAAAACACCAGATTGAAAAATTGATTATTCTGATTATCTTTTGTTATATAACAGCCTGCCCGAAACTTAGTGACTTTTGCTTATGGATAGGCAATTTAGGCAATGTGGGGCTGGGACAGCTCATTTATGCTTTGCTAGGTATCAGCTGGAGCAGCTGAACTACTGGGACTGGAATCATCTGAATGCTTCCTCACATGTATGGTGATGGATGCTGGTTGCCAGCTGGGATCTCATTTGGGCTGTGGCTAGAATATCTACACATGACCTTTCTGTGTGGCTACTTGGCTCCCACGCAACATAGTGGCTGTGTTCCAGCGGCAACTGTCTGAGAGAGAACCAGGTGGAAGCTGTATTGCCCTTTCTATCCCAGCCTTGAAAGTCATGCTGTATATTACAAGAAGTCACTAAGGCTGACCCATAATTAAGGGGACTGGAATTAGACTCCTGTTCTTGCTGGCAGGCATGTCAGAGAATCTGTGATCATATTTTAAAGCTACCACAATTATATTTGTGCAAAGGAAGTAAGGATGGCCAGGGGAAGAGCATTCCAGGTCAAGTAGACAGAAATGTGAAGGCTCTGAGGTTGGTAGATACCTGATTGCTTAGATTTGTTTATGGTTGAGTTCCTACTGTAAAACGGCAGCTCCCTGAGGGCAAGGGCTTTGTTCACTGCTATTTTCTCAGCACCTAGTGTTTGACAGATGGTGCAGTTCAGTTCATATTTGTGGAAGAGATAGCCTTTTGGCACCGTGTATCAACAACCTAAAATGAGCACATAATCTTTGATCTAGTAATTCTTTCCTTGGACAGTTATCTTTAGGAGAAATACTGTATACATAAGCAAAGCTCTAGTGAAAATTTGAAGGTGTCTAAATGCCCATTAATAGCAGATTAGTTAAATAAATTACGGTTTTCTATATAATGGGACACTATAGTTTAAAAAAATTTTTTTTAATGTTTATTTATTTTTGAGAGAGAGAAAGAGAGCCCAAGCAGGGGAGGGGTAGAGAGAGAGACACATAATCTGAAGCAGGCTCTAGACTCTGAGCTGTCAGCACAGAGCCCAACACGGAGCTTCAGCTCATGAACCGTGAGATCATGACCTGAGCTGAAGTTGGACGCTTAATGGACTGAGCCATCCAGGCCACCCCCACTGTAGTTTTAAACTAAATATTTTGGCAAAGAAAGATGAATGTTGAGGGACGAGGAGCAGAATTAAAATAATGGTGTACAGAATGATGTTATTTGGTTAATAATTAGCAGTCTATATAATATATGCATAGATTGGAGAGGGATCTGATAGGATGTATATCAGAATGTTAATTGTTATAGGGGTTGTTTTATTTAGTTTATAAATGTTAATTTATTTTTGTGAGGGGGAGAGGGGAGAGAGAGAGGATAGGAAGGGGGATCTGCACTGACGAGAGAGCCTGATATAGGGCTTGAACTCAGAGACCACAAGATCATGACCTGTGCTGAAACTGGATGCTTAACTGAATGAATCAGGCATCCCTATAGGGGTTATTTTAGAGTTGTTTGTTAAAAAGGTTATTTATTGCTCTTATAAAGGCAAATAATGTAAAATATTTTCATTGATGTAGAATAGTATCTAAGTTACTGTGAGTAATAAGCACTTTTTAAATTAATATATCGGTCTTTTTATTAATTAAAGAAGTTGGAGGAAAATAAGATTTGTGCAGAAAAAAGTGTGAAATGGTGTAAAATCATGATTTTTCAGCATATTATCTCTTGATTATAGGTTACCTTTATTTTCTTTTTAATATTTCTGTATTTCCTTAATTGGAAAAATAAGGTTGTTTCATAATAAGGAAAAGATTTATATTAAAAGAAAATAGCTATGGTGGTAGTGTTAAGCAACTACCACCTTCAAGATTATTTATCATGTTAAAAATCCAAATTTATAGGGGCGCCTGGGTGGCTTAGTCGGTTAAGCGTCTGACTTTCACTTAGGGCATGATCTCTCGGTTCGTGGGTTCGAGCCCCGCGTCGGGCTCTGTGCTGACTGCCAGCTCAGAGCCTGGAGCCTGTTTCAGTCTGTGACTCCCTCTCTCTCTGACCCTCCCCTGCTCACGCTGTCTCTCTCTCTCTCCTAGAAATAAATAAAACATTAAAAAAAAATCCAAATTTATAAACCAGCTAAATCAGAGATCTCTAGATTTCCCTGCAAATTTCCTTTAATGGACTCAAAATATTATGTGATTTAGGAAGAGAAAGACAAATACTGTCTGATCTCACTTATGTATAGAATCTAAAAAAATAGAACTCCGGGAAACAGATTGGTGGTTGCCAGAGGAAGAGGGTACAGGAGATAGGTGAAGGTGGTCAAAATGCACAAACTTCGAATTCTAAGATACGTAAGTTCTGGGGATGTTACGTACAGCATGATGACTGTAGTTAACAATACTGCACTGTTGCTAAGAGAGTAGTTGCTAAGACAGTAGATCTTGTAAGTTGTCATCACTGAGAGGAAAACATTGTCAGTGTGTGAAATGATGGATGTTAACTAAACTTATTGTAGTAATCATTTTGTAATATATACATATATCACATGTTTATGTTGTATACCTCAAATTATTACAGTGCTAGATGTTAATTATATTTCAGTAAAACTGGAAAAAATATTATGTGGCTTAGAACATTTGATTTACACTTATATCTTAAGCTACCACTCTTTGTTAATGTGGTTTTTTCCATGCTAATATTAATCTTTATCACTGTAGTGCAGGTTTTCAGTAACCTTACAAGAGTAATTGAGCCCTAATGTAAAAATTACAAATGTAAGTTATGAATAAACTCCTAGGGGTGGTATAATACTTTAATACAGATTTCATTGCAAAAAAATGTCTTTTAGCTAATTGTTGTCATTTCACTGTCTTACCTCTTTATTTTAAAGAAATAATTTGTAATTCATTTTGTTCTTATATACCATAGGATGTGTTTTGGAGATGCAGACAAAGTATCTTTGATGAAATGAAGAAGAAATTTTTACAGGTAGACTGCTGATGTAATTGCTTTAGTATGATAATCAGCAGAACAAGTAACAGCATGTTGGTATTTTTATTTAGTAACAAGGCATGTCTTAAGTTTTATGTTTGTTTGGCTTGTTTCATTTCTACCTGATATTATTAAGAAGAAAAATCACCTTAAATGAATATGCATCTAGTTAGTCCTTTTTTTTTTTTTTTTTAAGCATGTGAGTGAGGGGGGAAACCTAAAAACTGTAGAACCCTCTGTTTTGACTTTCAGGTATGGTTGTTGTCTGTTTTTTTACAGATATATTTCATTTTCTGAAATATTAGTAGTGCTGGGATTGAATCATTCAATAACTTACAGAGTCAAAACCCAGAAATCTTACTTGCATAATTAAATAAAACCTTCCCAACAGGCTGAATGCAGTATAAACTTAAACTTTGCTGTGATGTAGCATCCCATTCTAACCTTTTCTTAATGCCTCTTTTTCCCTGGGTCCTCTAGCTGTAAAGTTTTTTTCTTCAAAGTGCTTCCTTTAATCTCTAAATGGTCTGTGGCAAGAGACCATTTAGGAAAAGATCATATAACATTGGAGTTTGCTGGGTGGGGGCTGGGGTGATAAGATGGGGGAAGGTAGTAGATGGAATGGATGGAGCATCTTAAAAATACATTTTTTAAAAAATAGTTTATTGTTAAGTTGGTTTCCATATAATACCCAGTGCTCATCCCAGCAAGTGCCCTCCTCCATGCCCATCACCCCTCTACCCCACCCCCATCTTGAATGCCCTCAGTTTGTTCTCAGTATTCAGGAGTCTCTCATGGTTTGCCTCCCTCCCTCTCCCCAAATGTTTTTTCCCCTTCTTCCCCCATGGTCCTCTGTTAAGTTTCTCCTGATCCACTTAAAAGTGAAAACATGATATCTTTCTTTCTCTGCCTGACTTATTTTGTTCAACGTAACACCCTTGAGTTCCATCCACATTGCTACAAATGGCCAGATTTCATTCTTTCTCACTGCCATGTAGTATTCCATTGTATAGATTAACCACATCTTGATCCTTTCATCAGTTGATGGACATTTAGGCTGTTTCCATGATTTGGCTGTTGAAAGTACTGCTATGAACATTGGGGTACATGTGCCCCTATGCATCAGCATCCCTGTATCCCTTGGGTAAATTCCTAGCAGTGCTATTGCAGGGTCATAGAGGAGTTCTTTTGTTAATTTTTTTGAGGAACCTCCACACTGTTTTCCAGAGGGGCTGCAAAAATGTTTTTTAAAATGTAAGTTAGGGCCCTCCATCATTGCCCCAGTAATTGTTACTTGTTAAAGTAAAAATGCATACCTGATAAATTTAATAAATTTCAGTCAGCAAAAATATTCACTCCCTCAGTTCTGTCTTTTAATCTATGGCAGTATTAGCTGTAGATACTCAGAAGGGTAATGTGCTAAGGCCTAATTTCCTAGCTCATGACAGCTCCTATACCAAGAAGTAGGTAGAACGGACTTCAATGTGTGTAAGTTTGCAACCATAATACTATTCTTAGTAATAACTTTGAAAAGAAGAGAGTCTTGAGAGAAAATGGGTTGACTATTAAATTTAGAGGTAAAGAGGTCCCTTTGTAATGTTTTAAAATTCTTTCTATCTTTTTTCTTAGAAAAATCTGCATCTTGGAAACTTTGAATTTTGTTTGATATTGTTTTCTACATGCTCATACATTCTGAATATATGCCATCAATTACACACCTTGCTTTTTAAATAAGAAACACCTAGGAAGTATTTTTTAATGAAACAAAAATTATGGCATTAATTTCAGAGAACTCAGATTTGAACTTAGAATTATTGGGAATGCCAAGAAAAGGAGATGACATGACTTAAGAAGTGAACATGCTGTCAGGCAGGCTCTGAGATCCCTCAGACGGAACTATCTCTTGTCGACCTCTGCAGGCTGTCCCTAGCAGCGAGCTTATCTTTGGAAGAAAATATGTTTTCAATGTTTTTATCCCCGTACTTTATCTTTTGTAAATAACAATGTGGCTTAAAGTTGGTTTTTTTTTCTTTGTTTTTTCAAGAATTCTTTCTTCAGAGTATGTTCGGAAATCCAGCTTTGTTTCTGAAGTGAGCACAGACAGGCACAGACCAAACACTGTTAGCATGCACAGTGGTAATGTAACTGCTGTCGACTTTCCCCCCACCCCCATTCTCACTCATGTAATATTGCTATGAGTTGTCCATAAAATAAGTAGTTTTACTTTTATACATTGTACCTTTTTTCTAACTAGCTAGATTTTCTATGTCAAGAGCTTTGTGTTCCTCTCACAGCTCACCTAAGATATATGAAATATTTTCCCAAGTGGAACATGGCTTTTCTAAAACTTTGCACTTGTTTTCTCTTAACTTTTTTCTCTTATTAATCATAAAACTCTTTTAACTTAAAGATTGTGCTCTCTTTCCTAAATTGTGATGTATCCTTAGATGCCTTGCCTTAATGTTGGATTTAGTGCTTAAATGGATGCCCTCCCTGCTGCTATCAACACCACCAACACTACATCCTTTCCATCTAGTGCTTGCTGTACTTAAGTGTGTTTAAGTACATTTTTGCTATCTAATGCTGTAGAAGAGCCTACCCCAAAACTTAGTGGCTTAAAACAACAACTAGTTTATTTGCTCACAATTCAGTGGGATGGGATTTGGGCAGAGGCTCAGCTGGTCAGTCTCTCTGCTCCGGGTGGCGTTATCTGGGATCATTACTTGGCTGCATTTAGCTGGTGTCTGGCTTTGGATGGCATGTCCAAGAAAGCTTTTCTTGGGTATTAGACACCCCAGTGCCCCTCTCATGTGGGCATGTGTTCTCTGTGTGGATTGTTAGGGCTATCATGGTGGTCCGAGGGTAAGTGGATTTTTTTTTTTTACTCATAAGTGGGAATGTTCCAAGAGGTACAAAAGCAGAAGATGCTGATTTTTTTAAGGTCCTGCCTAAAATCACACATTGTCACTTATGTCATAGTCTTTTGGTCCTAGCCGGTCACAAGGCCAGTCCAGATTCATGGGAAAAGGAAAAAGATAATGAGTGGCAAAGAATCTGTAGCTATTTTTCATTTACCTCAGAGTGATCCTGCTTTTTCCTTTGGGTGTAAATGGGATCAATTAGGGGCAGAGCTCCAAAGAAATTAAGAATGGTAGCTACCCCATTTTCCTAATTCCAGGATACACCTTTTTACATTTAAATGTTTTGGAAATCTGCATATTTAATACAACATTGTAGAGTTGTGTTTTTTTTTTTCCTTAAAAAACTGTTGTAAAGCTATTGGTATATCTTTATTGATGGTATCTGAGAATTGAGAAATGATTTTTTTCTTATCAGGTCTCAGATTGGAGGTATGTAGGGGGAGTGATTAGTGTTGGCAATAGTGTTATGTAAAATTTACATGTAGTCTGTGGATGATAACCATATATTTGATTAAATTAGAAATCAAGGGCCAGAAGGTAGAGTCTGAAGTACTAAGATTTATAACTGGCTAGCTTAGAGCCTTAAAGAATATGAGAGCTTTTTGTTTGTTTCCCTTATTCTAGAATTGAATTGAAGAGTAAGATGTAATTAGCCCAGAAACTCTGCTTATAGGAATTTTAAGGAGATAGGAAAGCACACAGTTTTATGTAGAGGTTCATCACAGAATGATTACTAAAATGTAATGAAGTCTAGCCTAAGAGTCAGTAAAATAGAACTGATAGAACAAATTATTGTTAATCCATATAATAAAATGCTATTAACTGTTAAAAAATGAGAAGTTAGAAAAAGTTTGACACACAAAGATTACATGATACATTTACAAGTAAAGAAAGAAATTACAAAACAGCATATATATTCTAACCCAGTGTATGTGTTTAAGTGTGCATGTATATTTGGGTATGTGGGCAAAATATTTGGAAGGATATACTCCAAAATGTAAATAGTATCTGTGTATTACGGGGTTACAGATGATTTCTATTTTTTCCTTTATAGTCTTCCTATTTTTTAAAAAAAGGAACAAAGTTATTTTTATACAATTCACAGAAAAGAAAGCCATTGTCATTAAAAAGAATAAAAGGTACACATGAGATTACATTTTGTATTTACTGTAGTACATTAGTCTTCAGATGAGATTCCTTTGGAGATAATATCCCCACATTTTTGAGTGGAAAAGGAGGAGTGGAGTGGAAATAGAGTGCCTGTACCTTATGCTCACATATTTAGGAGAAGCAGCAGGAAAGCCAACATGTGGCTGTATGATGTTGCTGCATCCTCACTCTGATGTACACTATTATGCTAGCACTTTGGATTTCTGAATTTGGTAGGGTCATCTTCCTTAGACCTTCAATTCCAACCTATCTGAGGTTTTAAAATCTGGACCCATGGTATTTTCTACCTGGAAAACTTGACTTTACATCTGAAGTCTTTTGTTTGAAACTATGAAAATGGATCTTTCCTATTTGAAAGTTATTTTGAATTGTTCATTCTTTTACTGTAAACTAGAGTTTAAAAAGGCCCACATTATGTTTCTCAGTTTGGGATCAAAATGTGTGAAACAGTCATTACATGTGTTAATATAACATCTTAAGTTTGTAGAGGAAGCCTTCCCCCCCCCTTTCTGAGAAATGTATTACTAATGCTTTTTTTTTTTGTTATTCTGTTTATTTTATAGAAATGTATTTTCCTTTTTTCCATTTTAAATGGATTCTTATTTATAGTTAAATACTTTGATTGTCTGAATATTGTGCTAACCAATCTACTTTAAACATTATGCTTTTATAGAAATTTATTTCTATTCTAAACTACTTGGATTAACTTAATTTAAATAATCTCTTGCAAACTCACAGTTGTATGTAGCAGAAACATTAGAATTGTGTTGCTCCACCAAACAAACAGATAAACCTTGTGGCTATCCTGTCTTTAATACTATTCAATGATAATAATTATTGTTTAAAAATGAGTAATATAGAAGCAACAAAAGTTTGGAGTTGTTATTGTTGTAAAATAGAAGGACAGAAAGAAATTATAGTATACATAGCCACTTTGTAACAGTTCATATTTCTGTAAAGCCTATTATGGGAATGGTGAGACTTCCCTCAGTTAAATGACTGCTGCACTTGATTTTGAGGGGAAGCAAGAGATTTGCATAATCAGATTTGCATGTTAAAATACTATTCTGGATTGAAGGAAGATAAGATTAGAAAAAGTTAAACCTCTCATGAAGCTATTGCCATAATCTTGGTATAAGATTTTGATTGCTGCAGACAGGAATAGAGAAAGGAAGATGGCTCAAGAGATATTCAGAAGGTAGAATTGATGGAATTTTGGTGATTGTTTGAGGTGAAGAAGAGGGAAGAGATGAGGAAGGTGCTCAACTCTAGTTTCAGCAGCAGGTAGATGATGGTGCCATTCACTGAGTTTGGCATTATAGGAGAAGGAGGGAAAGAACTTCTTGCACTAAAGGATCTGATGCAGCCTACTACCCCTGTGGAAAGTGAAAAAGAAAAGCAATGTCCTTCAACAGCTTGAGAGGGAGGGCATAGCCTCTTGGAGAAAGCCTCCTTTAAAAACTTTTTGTCTTGGTAATTACTGAGTTATGTACTAGATGAAAAAGAAGGAAGAAAATTTGTGACCCTAACTTTCTTCTAAGTTGGTAATTGAAAAGTTTGTTCCCTTTGCTTTGCTTTACTTGCTTCTGCTGCCTAATCTGGTTAGATAAGCTTGCCAGTTCCCAACACACTGATAAATGAGGTTTGGACATCTGGTCTACAGGTATAGTAACATAAAGATCAGGGGGCCTGGTTGCCTGTGTCCCCTTGTTAGGGATTTTGCAATTTTAGACAGTCTTCACTTATTTCTACACAGTTCCCTTTCTGTTTCTTCAAAAAACCCAGAAGTGCTAGATTCGACTGTGCTAGCATGGTAATGACACATTTTCAAGGACCAGATTTTATTACTTTCAAATGAAAATTGCTCAAATATGCTGTCTTTGCAACTTGTTGACCATTGATTTATAGCCTTAAAAAGGTGAAAGCAGATACCCACAAGAATGAATGTTGATTCCTAAATATACCCTAGTTTTTCCAAAACAAACACATACGGTGCTTTATATGTCTGACATATCCATTACAGTCTCTTTCAGACATAACAAAACAATAATACTAGCTTAGAGAAAATAATATTTTGTGGGATATGTTTACATTTAATCATAGAAAATATGGTTAATTATAATTGTTTTGGTTTTCTTTAAAGATAAACAATATTTGTTTGTTTTAATTTCAGATAGAAAATGCTGCTGAAGAACCTAGAGTTTTATGTATAATACAAGATACTACTAATTCAAAGACCGTGAATGAACGGATCACTTTAAATTTGCCAGCTTCTACTCCACTCAGGAAGCTCTTTGAGGATGTGGCCAACAAAGTAGGCTACATAAATGGAACCTTTGATTTAGTGTGGGGAAATGGAATCAATACTGCTGATATGGTAAAACTCTAGACTTAAAGCATGTTCTCTTAAGCTACTAATAATACCATAGTCGTCATTATTATTCTTGTTATTAATAGTATATTAAATCCTGAACCTTTTTTAATATCATAAGCAAAACTGTAATAAATAATTTAGAGCCTGTGTGCAGCTCAGTGACTGGATCCTCTTCATCCCTTTGCCTTTATTCTGGATTCAGCATTTCCTTACCCTAAAGTTTGCATAATGACATTAGTTTTTTAATTCATTCATGTAAGAGGACTATCCTATTGTATCAACTATAGAAAATTTCCCAACATTTACTGCATGGCATGATATTCATCTTTTTAAGTGAAAAAAGAGAATATGGAATCATGTGTATTTTATAATCTAATTTTTGGAAAAGAAGAGAAAAATGTGTATGAAAGGAAAAGGAGAGGAAGGATATACATCCATGTTAACAGAGATTATGTACCATATACAGTTGTAGGCACCTGATCAAGAAGATTGGTGTTACCATGACTTTTGCTTCAAGATCTCACAGTCCTGTTATAGAAATAGATGTATTGGCAAATAATTACACTAATGTGTTTGAAGTAATCTATTATAAGCTTGTTTTGAGTGCAAAGAGGAGGCATTGATCACTTTGCATGGGAGAGACCATTGAGTTGGATCTCATCTCCACTATTAGGATAATTTTGGAAATGGTATAACTGCTTACCAATTAAAAATTAGCTATCCTAAGCTAGCAAGCTTGTAGACAAGCTATAGTGGGTCCTTTAAGACTTTGTAAACGTAGCTCCCAGATACTGGACTAATTTGTTTTCTTTTTTTTTTTTTTTTTTAACTTTTTAAAAAATTTGTTTCCTTAACATAAATTTCCATCTCCCTGCCTTTGCTTATATTACCTCTTTCTGTCCTGTGTCATTGCTATTCTTAAGTTCTCTAGGAAAATACCTCTGATGTGAAATGAAATTAAATGTGTTATCTCTGTGATATTTGGAGGGCAGAGTTTTAATTGGGTCCATAGATGAATCAAAGATGTTTGATGTTGCTTGATTTGCCCTTAAAATCCATGGTATTTTGCTTCCTATTCCATAATGTATTTGCATTTTTTAAATATAGACCTAATGTTTTAAATTAACCAACTTTTTCCCCTCTGAAATTAATCAGTAAAATCAGTAGTCCAACAAGATATACAAACAGAAATAATATTTAACTTGAAACTTTGAATATTCCATGTTATATCACCATGTAACTTCTAATGTTGCCTCTTTTTAAAGGATAGTTCAATACTGTCACGTATGTCTCCCCTAGTCTTTTTTTTTTTTTTTAAGAAGCCTTACATGTTGTTTCCTCATGCCACCTTAAAAATCTTTCTCTTTGACCCCTCATTGTACTTTTTCTTCTGCTATACCACTTATCAGAACTTTCTTTTTATTATAGTTATTATTCATTTGTGTCTTTCCATATGGTACAATGTGTGTATTTTAGTGGCTGGGACCTCATAGTATTAATTTTGCATCTTCCATAGATAGCTTCCTTAGACACTCCAAAAATGTGTGTTAAATTAACATATAGACTATGTTTAAATAGCTCTGTGTCAGGATTATCTACTTCTCTTTGTGTAGCTATGACTGAGTTCAAGTACTTGACTTCTGTATTTTTATTTGCTTACTGTACATTTCTGAAAGTATATTCTTTCACCTGTGTTATGTATACTTCTGGGAAAACCTAACGCACTTAGCTACTCACAAGCTCATACACACAGGCACATTTGTTGAGGTAAAACATTCTACGTATTCCAGCTATATTCTCCGATCTTTTATCAGAGAATGTAAAGGATGCAAATATACCTTTGCTCCTTCCATGTGGCTTCTCTTAGCTTCCGATTTCCTGTGTCCCATTTTTCTCATGGATTTCTAGATGTAAGCCAGTTAAGAGAGATCATATAAGTTTGTTATTTTATATACTTAATACTTATTTTGAACTTATTATGTGCTTAGTAACGTTCTGGTATAAGACTCTATAGATATAATCTCATTTAGTCCTTATAACGCACTCTGTGAGGTAGGTGCTGTTATAGCCTCATATTAGAGGTAAAGAAGCTGAGTCATGGGGAAATGGAGGTAACTTGCTCAGAGTCACACAAATAGCAAGGGACAGCATCTTTTATAGTTAGGTTTTGTATTTTTATCCTTAATACCTAAACTTTTATATAATGTAAGTTCCTAAGAAAGGCATTTCTATAAAATAAGTTTTTCTAAGGTGGCATTCCTCATGTCTTAGAAACATTAAAAACGTCTCTTAATATAACAAAATAGTTTTAGGACAAAAGAACAAGGTGTTCATTTCATCTCTTATTTTTTCAACAATGGACTAGTGCATGGGTGAGTCCCTACCGTAGACTTGCAGCACACAGAACTCCGTCTCATCCACCACCCAGAGTGTATCAGAATGAAATTGCCCTACCAGACAAAAGAGTTAGGTAAAGATTACTTATCTTAGATGTTTAATTTTCAAGAATGATCACTTCCATCCTCCCAGAATCCTCTGGATCCTGGCAGTGAACTTGAAACAGGTTATCATATACTAGGACAGGTTGTTCCTTAAGGAGTCTTTCTGAAAGTGCCCATTTTGGTATATTACATAATTATTTTGGTTAGATTGCTTAGTGTGTTGCTTACCTGGGAATTCCCATCTTCATATATCAAAACATGTTTTTATAGTTATTAGTAAATATAAAATTAGCTAGTCTTCATGAAAATTTGTTACATACTATATAACAGACATTTTAAAGAACATAGAAACACAGATGTTTATAATTATTTTTTTTGCACAATACTTAACATTACTTCTTAACTTTCTTTACCTTTTTACTCTCCAGTTTTGTTTTTCAAATTTTTTTTTTTAGGTTTTATTTATTTCTGAGAGAGAGAGAGAGAGACAGCCAGCCAGCATGAGCAGGGAAGGGTCAGAGAGAGAGGGAGACACAGAATCTGAAACAGGCTCCAGACTCTGAACTAGCTGTCAGCACAGAGCCCAATGCAGGGCTCAAACCCATCAACTGTGAAATCATGACCTGAACCGAAGTCAGACGCCCAACCGACTGAGCCACCCAGGCACCCCCACTCTCCAGTTTTTTAAGATGTTGGGAAATATGAACATCTGGGATACCTGTCAGTATATGCACTGTCACTGGGCTTAGCCATCCTAATATATGAGTAAATGAGTTAATTCCAAGTCTAGATTAACAGAATTTACCAGACTCTTCATTTTAAAAATTAGTGTTTGAGCACAAGGATTGTAGACATGAGTTCATTTACGTATTACTTGTTTTATTTTATTATAATTAATGTTTCTCATAATCTGGGATATTTTATTTTATGCCCATAGGCTCCACTGGACCATACCAGTGACAAGTCTCTTCTTGATGCTAATTTTGAGCCAGGAAAGAAGAACTTTCTGCATTTGACAGATAAAGATGGTGAACAGCCTCAAATACTGCTGGTAAACTATTTAAAAAGCCCCATATTCATAATTTTTGTGGACTGTCACTGTTGAGAAACAATATTTCAAAGGAGGGAGAAGAAATATGGATTTGTAGTTTATATATAATAAATTATTTCTGTATTTTATGTTGGCTTCTTATAAGTGTATATGTTAACATGGTAACAGTGGGCTGTCCAAAAGCACTGTTTGTGTATATAGTTTGTTGCTGCACTGAGAACAGAGTTTGCCATCTTCAAGGGTACCACCATAACAGGGATGAGGTGGATCTAGGATAAGTTAGAATACCACAGAGATCTTCTGCGATGTTTCAGTGGCGTTTTTCCTTTGGTTAAGTATTTGTGTGGTTGCTGTTAAGTCCTTGGCAGTTATGCCTAGATTTTTCCATATTTTGGGCTAGGGACAGACCCACAGAATTCTCTACTCTGACATTTTGCTCCCACCTTCCCCCCTTCTTTTTGGAATAACTAGTTTGTAAGTTACATGCTTTATTTCTGTTCTTTTAGTATTTGCCTCAATTCCTATTTCAGTAGGCTTTCCTTCCTGGTCCAGTGGCTGTATAGATCATCTAATCCAGTAATTCCCAATTTGAGGGGCATTCCTAAAAAAGATTGAGAAAACCTGGTCTGGTTTACCTTGCTGTTTTACAGACTCAGGAAAGTAAGGCATAGAGAGTTTATGGACTTTTTCAGAACATTTTTCTTCAGTGAAACTTCTCTCAGGAAAAGCTCTTCTATTTGATGCTTTTCATGTAGAATTCTCTTGTGAAACAGAATACCTGTCTGGACAGTAGACAGTAGTTAAACACAGAGCATCCATACTGAAGCAATACTAGAATGTGCTTTATCCCATCATTTATTTTTATGACCTCATGAGAAGATTTTAATTTGTCTGAACGACATTGAAATATAAATTAGCTATTAATTTAGGGAGCTCTAGATCCACAATTTAGGAAGTCATGTATTAAAATGCATAGTAATTACTCTTCAGCTCTGTCTTAATTGCTTACACTAATTTTATATCCCTGAATCCTTTTTGACATCTTCCTCACTAATAGGAAGTTTCTTAGTGGAGACAGCAGGAAACAATCCATTTCATCCAACCCTTTTTAAGTATGCCCTACCTGCCAGGCCTGCTGGGCAAGGACGATGTAAAAATGAATGATAGATTCTTGTCCTCAAAAGAGTTCACAATGGAACTTTGTCCTCTCATAAACAAAAATTGAAAAAGAATTAAGGACAATTGCAAAAGTGAGAACTTGGAAAGGAGACATGAGCATCTTTCCAAAGTGTTTTACATTGGGTGTCTTTTGAAGCCTTCCTGTAGGAAATGGGGAGGGTGTACATTCCTTTGAATGTCTTGGGGGTAATTGTAAGGCCTCATGTTTTTTTTTCATTGCCTCAGCAGTTAGTATGATTGCTGTTGTATTTTTCTCATTGTTTCAGCAACATAAGCCATTTGTTAAATATTGGTTTTGCTGCATTTTAGGAGGATTCCAGTGCTGGGGATGATAGTGTCCATGACCGATTTATAGGTCCACTTCCAAGAGAAGGTTCTGTGGGCTCTACCAGTGATTATGTCAGCCAAAACTACTCCTATTCATCTATCCTCAATAAATCAGAAACTGGTAAGTTTTTTTATTATTGTTGTTGTGGTTGTATTTTCGTAAAATCATACTGTGTTAGACCCAGAGTAATCTTGGAGATCTCAAGCCTAGTCCCCTCATTTTGTGGATTAGAGAACTGAGACCAAAAGCAAGATTACTAGGTAGCAGCGATAAAATTAGAGCCATAATATGGTTTCCCTTTCTCTCAACTCCATGTTGGTTTTACTGTATTGTTACTGCCACTATTTAGTAATAAAGTGAAAAATATTGAATATTATATTTTGAAGGAAGACTTTTTGATAAGTTTCTATTTTGAATTTATTCTTAAATTTCTGAAGTTGACTTTCTTTGGAAAGGAATGTTTCCATTCTATCTTTTTGGATCAGAATAAACTGTAGGGGATACTTCCATTTTGAAGCAGATGGGCCAGGCTTATTTTATTAGACCTACTCTGTCACCTTTTAGTTTAATCAAATCATATGTTTGAAATTAATCATGAAATTAAAAAATTCCTGTTAACGCTTTTCTAAACATTTTTAAACCTAGGTTTTGATTTTTTTTCAATTTTTTCTATTGAGCAGTGAAATTATTTATATAAAGGTTTATTCCTTTATATAGAAAATTGGTTAATTGCCTAAATATAGTCTGGGTACTTTTACATAACATTTTATCTTACAACAAACCTTTGCTAAGGTAGTATTACTTATGTTAAAAGAAATGGAAACTGGGCTTCCGAGAAGTCTTTGATTGCACAGCTGGTAATGCTAGGTGTGACTTCAGAACTTTTACTCTTAGAACTTCAAAACAGAGATGATCTTAAATATTATATGCAAATATATAGTATAAAAAGAAAATAACATTACATTGCAGATTTTGTTCTAACGTGATCTGTAATCTTCTATTTACTATGTTTTGTAATTAAAATGTACAGTAATTTCCTTATAGCTGATCATTTGTACAGGCTTAATGGTGTATTTGTTCTGGAAATACCAGTAAAAGTTGGTCATGTTTGGTGTTTAGGATCATTTATATCTGTAGAACTTTTTGCAGTCATATACCAGGAATCAAAGAATGCAAAATTATCTTCTATTTCAGATAATAGGAGATAATAAAGCTTTTTATCATTACACTGTTTAGAGTAGTGATTCTCAGATTCTTATTTCTTTAAAAATCATTTGGGGATACTTAAAAATGTAGGCTCCCAGGCATTACTTCCCAGAATACTGGGTAGATAAATTGCCTTTTGTTTTAAATAAGCACCCTAGATTATTCTGAGATAGTTGAAATACGTTGAGAAAGTTCCAAATTTAACAAATCAGGATTCTTGGAGTATTTGCTTTGTATTCTCACAATCAGTTTAGTCCTTTAATAGGAGTATTTGCAGAACTCCTCCTTTGTGCTGTATATTCTATGGCTCTATGATGCCTATAAATTTCTAGAGACTCATACTTTTAAAAAAATTCTTTCTTTGTACAAGTGTAATATATGCTTATCGTCATGCTTTAAAATGAAGAAAGTGAAAATCACTGACAGTGCTACCAGCAGAAACTACTTACAGTGATTTTGCTTATTTCTGTTTTATCTTTCCTCCATATCTGTGCTTTTGAGAAAGTGGAGGAATCATATTACGAGCATTTTTTGATCTGTATGTATTTTTTCCTTAATACTATATTATAAGCATTTTTTAGTGCTATTCAGTAGTATTTTAGTAGAGTTTTGAATGGCTGAAAAACAGTATTTCATTGTATAGTTTGGATATTTAAGCTGTTTAATTACTGATGTTATGATGAACATTCTTGTATGTAAGTTTTTTTTCTTATCTTTGATTATTCCCTTAGGGGAAAATTCTCAGTAATTGAATTACTAAGTTGAAATTTAATTTAAAAAAATTTAGAAGCCTTTGATCTACATTGCCATGTAATGGCAGCCTTCATTCCCAGTTATTGTTGCTCACACACCTCTCCTCCCCTCTTTTTCCCTACCTGTACATTTTCCCTCTAGTGTTCTAGGAGTGCTGCCTTTCTGAATTAAAATAGTCTATAAGCATCCAAAGGAGTTGTGGTTCAAAAAGAATTTTGTTATTGAATTTTCATTTTCCTTAAATTAGTGTAAATCTTGGTGCCATGTACCAAATGATTTTATTGAAAGATGCTGTCATGATTTTGACTCAGGACTCTAGGAACACATTTCTCCATAATGCAAGAGATTTGGAGATTTGATATATTCTTTTCTGTCTCCCCTGTCTACCAGCTTTCCCATAGACAGTCGCTGTTGACAGGAGATGATAGGGGTGGGCAGGGTGGGGTATTGTGTGTATGAGCATTAAGGGACAAGGAGTGGATTGAAGGCTAATGAGGACTTGCAGGTGATTAGAAACTTTGTAACGAGGGTGTTTCCATTATCTGAATCCAAGATAACTTTCCTTGGCTGGTTTCTTTAACAGTTCTTTTTATTTAATCAACTCCAGGAGTTGGCCTGTTACATTCTATTTCATTTGGCCTATTTGTTACCTGCTGGTTCTGTTCAGAATTTTTTTCTGCATGTGCCCTTACAGAATGACATGTTTTCATCTTCTTCTCCCTTACTAGCTCACATTTAAAGGATTGATTCACAGCTATTTCAGATGTAGCACCCACGTGATAACGTGTCATTTGAAGTTTATTGATTTAGACAGTGCTTAATAAGATTTCTACTATTCAATAGCGCTTTTATTAGAATCACTAAAATCTTTATAGTTTTGAAAAATAGTACCTTTATGCGATACATTGTTCATTCTTTGCAAAATATGGTGCTAAATCAAGTACAATGACCATAGATTTTTCTATATGATTTTTATTGCTAATGACAAAATAAAGAACGATGGCAGTAATTAAGTGTGTTACTCCTTCCTTCCATTAAATCCTTCTCCTACCATCCTTTTTTTTTAAGCCCAGGGAGGGGAAACAAGGCCACATATAAATGATACATGATTGGTCTATAGGTATATGTATTCATCCTCACTGTTGAGGGATTGTAGAAAAAGTAAAACAACCTGGTATCATGGCCAAAGCACTGTTGTTTGTGAGGAAGAATTTGTTTATATGAACTAAGAATGAAATAATGCTTCATTATGCATAATCAGGCCACATATCCTACAGATTTGTGTTATTTGTAAGTCATATATACACTTTCTGCTTAAGTTCACCTGCTGCTGTGCTAAGTAGTAGGATAAAGAGATAAATCAGACTTGACACTTCCCCTCACAGTCTGATGGGGAAGACATATAAGTAGATAGGTCATTACCGGACACTGTGCTGAAAGCTCAGATATGGATTAAAGACAGGGTGCTATGAGAACAACTCAGGTGGGGGTTGGTTAGGAATTGAAGCAGTTTATAATTCTATAACAATGTAGAATAGAATATATAAACACCGTATTCTTAAATATAAAAGGCATTAGAAATCAAAACTTGAACCTTAGTCCCAAGTGAAAAGTAGGTAGCTACTCCATCTCTTCTTAGAGCCATACAGGTAATGTGGAATCTGTTTCTCTTTTCCACAACCGATGAAGACTTAGCATGCATATTTGTTCTTCCATCGCTTTCGGCAGTATAGTTGCCTACAAAACCTACCATTCTCAAGACATTTTGATAATTGGAAAGCTGAAAAAGTATTTTGAAAGGCTTCAATGAACACCTTCAGCATATATACTGAGAAAAATTGAAGGGTTTTTTTTTTTTTTTTTTTTTTTTTTTTAGAAACGCCCTTTAGTATTAAGTGGGAGTAAATAAACTTAATTATTAAGCAAAGTGTTTAGCACATTCTGCTCACATAATGAGGTAAACTAAAATGATGAGACTGACTTTTTTTTTTTTGTATATGTGTATCTCATAAAGTGGGCCTGAAATCTACTTCAAAAGAGACATTCCAAAAATGTTCTCAACAGTGGTAGCCATGTCCAATCAGATATACAAAGCCAAATAATTCTAATCATTCACTTAAATTCTAAATTCCTATATATATGCTTCTTCTTTTTTCCCTCCTCCCTTTCCCTCTTCCTCTCTCTATTCTTCCCCTACTTCTGACTTCCCTTTTTATAGTCACTCTTTGCAGAGTATAGTTACTCTTTGATGTATAGAATCTCATACTTCTTGGGCTTGTTAAAATAGAGGAAGTCACTCTTAGTTTTATCTAATGAATTTATCTCCTTTGTTATTAATTCTTGGCATAAATTGGTTATAGTTTTCCTGTTTTGGGTGTGTGATAAAGTAAATTTGGGAAACAAGATTATTTTTATGTCAGTTAAACATACTTATATTGAAGTGTTCCTCTTTAAAATTTATTAGATGCTAGATAATATCTGTCTCTGGACTTTGAATAAGATAATATCTGTCTCACTTTTTCTGAGAAACAAGGTTTATTACGTAGAGTACATTTTAGGAAAAAAGTCTTATGTGCTATAGAAAAAATGAAAATAATTTCCAACTGAGTAACCTTAAACTCTCAGTTTTCACTGTTCATTCAATTCCTATTAAGCTTTCTTTTTTGGTATTTTTAATGTAAATGCTGATTTACATATATTTGTGTTTTCTTTTTAAAGGATATGTGGGATTAGTAAACCAAGCAATGACTTGCTACTTGAATAGCCTTCTGCAAACACTTTTTATGACTCCTGAGTTTAGGAATGCATTATATAAGTGAGTATTCAAAAAGGTTTTATAAATAAAATTGATTTCAGAGTGAAAAGTATAGGTTTCAACTGATAAAATCCAATTTACCTTCTTATACTTATTTGTAAAATTTGGGGAATTTCTCACTTCATAAAGACACACATTGAATAGTATGTAAGAAAAAAATGTTTTGAGAGATTGGCATATGAAATATTTGTGCAGAGAGAGAACCAGAAGTGCATAGACTAGCAAAGGATAAAATTAATAAGATTTATATTGGGGATAAATAACTTTATTTAAGCTTCTCTCACTTATAGCTTTAATATCTTTATTTTTTTTTAAAGTTTATTTATTTACTTATTTTGAGAGAGATTGAGAGAGAGAGCAAGCAGGGAGGGGCAGAGAGAGAAGGAGAGAAAGAATCCCAAGCAGCTGTCAGTGCAGAGCCCGACCTGGGACTCAATCCCACGACTGTGAGATCATGACCTGAGCTGAAATCAAGAGTCAGACGCTTAACGGACTAAGCCACGCAGGTGCCCCTAGCTTTAACATCTTTATAAAGAAATGTTAACTGCCTTTTGAGATAATCCGAGTATGTAAACTATATTCTCCTTTCTTTTCACTTCTCAGTTTAAGAAACAAAGTCATCTTTTTAAACTTACAAACTTTGTTTCTAATTAAAATATAACATTGGGGTGTGTGTATGTGTGTGTTTATAAAAGACTGTATATACTCTAGGCATTTTAAAATGCTCTATAAAACAAAGTCCATATTTAAATAAACTAAAGTCAGACAACTATTTTTATGAATATCTTATAATACATTTAATATGTTCTTGTTTTGTATATTTTCTTTAAGGTGTACATAACTTATTTTTTAAGACATTTTAAAGTACAAATTAACTGATTTTTCCTGTGCTACTCTTATATAATATCCTTGAAATTACTGCAAATATGTATTTAAAGTATTCTTGGAACTTTTAATATTGGTTGTGTTGCTCAGACAACACTATACTACCATTACATTCATATGTAAGCTCATCATCTGAGTTTACTTGTGAAAATGGACATTGTAATGAATCCCTCTGTACCCATCACCCAGCTTTGGATATTATCAACTAATGACCAGTCTTTTTTATCTAATACTCTCCAATCTGATTATTTGGAAGCATACCCTCGTCATGTCATCTGTAAATTATCTCAGGTCAGTGCTGAGGTTTTCCTGATTGCCTCATAATTTTTTTAAGCAGTCTGTTCAAATCTGGATCCAAACAAGAGCCATACAGTAAAACTGATTTATTAGATTCTTAATCTGTTTTAATCCCCTTCCATATTCTTTTCTCTGCAATTTGTTTTTTTGAAAATATATATATGGAAAACTGATGTCATTTGTCCTGTAGTTTTCCACAGTTTGGATTTTGCTAGTTGCATGCCATAGTGTCTTTTAATATTGTTCTGTTCCCTGAATGAGTTAATAATTAGGACAGGAGTCTTGATCAGATTCAAGCTCTATGGGTTACTTTTAGATGAGCTTTGCCTTTCATTCATGTTGCCTTCTTAGACCTTTTTGTTAAAGTCTAAATTTCTTCTGAATTTATGAATTAGAGAAAAGCTACTATTTTGTCGGATGATAATAATAGCTTCAGTTAATATTCAAAGGTCTTATATGATGTTATCATTAATGATGGTTTAAGAATATAAAAATATTTTATAAGTAATTTTAAAATATTTTATTTCAATAGGTGGGAATTTGAAGAATCTGAAGAAGATCCAGTGACAAGTATCCCTTACCAACTTCAAAGGCTTTTTGTTTTGTTACAAACCAGCAAAAAGAGAGCAATTGAAACCACAGACGTTACAAGGAGCTTTGGATGGGATAGTAGTGAGGGTACTAATTTTCATGTAATGATAAGTGTTTCTAATATTCAAAGGAATTCTGGGAGACAGTATTATAAATGATATGTATTAACAATTAATTAACTTTACCATAAACCTTTTCATTGCTTTTTGCTGGGATTTAGAAGTAACTTATTTGTAAAATTTAAGTTCTCAGGGTAAATTTTTGATAAATTAAAATTTTCTTGTCATGTAAGTTTGGTTAAACTTTACTTTTATGTACTTAAACTAAAACTTTTAAAGTTTGTTGTTCCAGATTTTTCTTAAGATATTTCTTAACTCTACAGTGAAACATAACAAAAATAGCAAATATCATAGCACCATAAAGCATGTATTATTTATAAAATACTAAGATCTCTTGATTCTTTTGCTTGTGATTATCTTTTCATCACTGTAATATATACTTTGTGTTCTTTTTTCTTAATTTAGGATTATTTTGTGTAGATTTTTCCATGTTTTTGACAATTTGCTTTTAAACAGCAAATTAATGTTTTGTTATGCAAAAGGTATTGCTGTTTTTAATTAAATTTTATCTTAAAATAGCTTGGCAGCAGCATGATGTACAAGAACTGTGCAGAGTCATGTTTGATGCTTTGGAACAGAAATGGAAACAAACAGAGCAGGTAATTCATCTTGGGTTGAGGGGAGTGTTTTACAATAAATCATTCATAAGTGAGTTTTATTCTGTTGAAATGTTTTAAAACTTTGGGATTAGTCCAGTTGTTAAAGTACTGAATGGGGAATTGAAAGTACTGGGTTCTCACTTGGCCATTAATTGAGTCATACAGATCCTCATTAAACCACCTTAGACCTCAGTTTCCTCATCTATAAAATAAGGAAGTTGGGTTCTGTGATCTACATGGTGTCTTTTTAACTGAAAACTGTATAATTCATATATAAATATATACGTGTGTGTGTGTGTGTGTGTGTGTGTGTGTGTGTGTGTGTGTTAGGGATGATTTTTGAACGATATTTTCGGATGTTTTATAATCTGCAGCAGATTAAGTATATTCATTGAGTAGTACTTTCATTTTGACCAAGGAGTTATGCTTTTGATATTCAGGATTCCTGTTAACCTGTGACTCTATTCTTGCAGTGGAAGAACAACATGTTAGAGGTGGGGAGAACGTTAGATATATCACTGTGGCATGAATAGTTAGGTTGAACTGGGTGGGTGGGGCTCAAAACTCAGTAAAGAAGAGGGTTTATACTGGCTCTAATGACTGGGGATCACAGGATAAAAAAGGGGTAAGAATCTAGAAGATAGCTTAGAAGGTCTGCTCTCTAATTGAAATTATTATGATGGTTTCGGCCAGAGTTTTTCAAACTAGGAGTTGTGATCTGTTCATGGGTTATAAAATCATTTTAGTTAATATACATCAGCAGTTAAAATGGAATAGTATATAGAGATGCTGGCGAGGATGTAGAGAAATAGGAACCCTCTTGCACTGTTGGTGGGAATGTAAACTGGTACAGCCGCTCTGGAAAACAGTGTGGAGGTTACTCAAAAAATTAAAACTGTAACTACCCTATGAGCCAGCAATAGCACTGCTAGGAATTTACCCAAGGGCTACAGGAGTGCTGCTGCATAGGGGCACATGTACCCATTGTTTATAGCAGCACTTTCAACAATAGTCAAATTATAGAAAGAGCCTAGATGTCCATCAGCTGACGAATGGATAAAGATGTGGTTTATCTTGAGGGTGTTATGCTGAGCGAAATAAGTCAGGCAGAGAAGGACAAATATCATATGTTTGCACGTATAGAAGGATTAGGAGGAACTTGATGGAGGACCGTGGGGGAGAAGAAGGGTGGACATGGAGGAGGGCACTTTGGGGATGAGCACTGAGTGTTATGTAGAAACTAATTTGACAATAAACTATTTGTAAAAAAAAAAAAAATAAAATAAAATACAAAAGAATAAAACTAGAAAAAAAAAAGATGTGGTTTATATATACAATGGAATACTACTTGGCAATGAAAAAGAATGAAATCTGGCCATTTGCAGCAATGTGGTTGGTATTATGCTAAGTGAAGTAAGTCAGCCAGAGAAAGATACCATATGTTTTCACTCATATGTGGATCTTGAGAAACGTAACAGAAGACCATGGGGGAGGAGGAAGAAAAAGTTATAGGGAGGGAGGCAAACCATAAGAGACTCTTAAATACTGAGAGCAAACTGAGGGTGGATGGGGTGGTGGGAGAGAGGAGGAAGTGAGTGATGGGCATGGAGGAGAGCACTTGTTGGGATGAGCACTGGGTGTTGTATGGAAACCAGTTTGACAATAAATTGTATTAAAAAAATGGAATAGTGTAGAAAAGCATAAGAGCATCACTAAAGTAAGGGTAAATATTATTTTCTGCAAATTTTGTTATAGTTAGATATACTGGATTGTGATGTAAATTATCTTCTTACTGTGGGTTTTTATCAAAACTGATTCAAAAGCACTGGTTTGAACCACTTAGAAATGCCCTCCCTGATGCAGAAGACATGATCAAATATGACTGGGGCACATGAATAAAGAAGGCTTCATTCAATAAATGGTATTAGTATATAGACAATGGTGATGGGTCCTCATTTGAATGCTTATGTAAGTCCTAGACATTTGAAGAGATATAAATTTATGAAAGAGGTAAACTGTAATACACTTCTTTTCCATTCTTAAGAGATTGAAAAAAATTTAAGTTTACATATTGATCTAGTTTCTCTACCTAGTCCTGTTGTATTTTATTAATTTTATGTATATGGTATTAGGGGCTCTTTCTTCTTCATAGGTCTGAAGTTACTCTTCTCTTATGCCCCTCTATGAGTCAACAATTCCATTAAGATCAGCCAATGCAATCCTGCATAGTTCTCAAACTTTGATATAAGAATTTTAAGGCAAGACACTCACATGGAGGGTCCTTATTTAGGGAGTTAACTGCCTTTTTTTGGGCCAAAAGAGCCCCAGTTGGCTAAACTTGGGGACTTAGTGAGAGATCCATTCTTTTAAATGAGGATATTTTGACAGAAATGGAGTTTAAGATTTTTTTTAAATTATTTTTTTAAAATTTTTAAAAATTTTCTATACATTTAAAACATGGCAGTATAATGTTTCCCCTTAAAATTGTTTTATGTATAGTACGGAAAGTTAAAAAGTTTTATTTGCACCTTGAGCTAGAAGATATGAGGTTAGAAATCAGAATATATTTTTGTGAGAGTGGTGGCCTGTGTGTATAAAGCGATGAAAATAGCTGGTTATTTAGCTACATAATTATCAACATGCCTAAATTGGTAGATTAGATGTATTCTCATCCTAGTGAAAAGATAATATTAGGCTTAATAGTATAATAAATTGGCTACTGATTCCAATAAAACATATTTTAGTAGTGGGGTTTTTAGTGATAAGAGAATTGAACTAATTTTTGTACATTGATTCTTAGATTAGTGTTAATCTATTTTTATTGATTTTTTATTGATTTTTGTCAAAACTTCATTTTTTATAGACCTTTAAATATTTTTAAAAAAATTTTTAATGTTTATTTTTAAGAGAGAGAGACAGAGCGTGAATGGGGTGGGGGTGGGGGGTCAGAGAGAGGGAGACACAGAATCCGAAGCAGGCTTCAGGCTCTGAGTTGTCAGCACAGAGCCTGACGTGGGGCTTGAACCCACAGACCGTGAGATCATGACCTGAGCTGAAGTTGGATGCTTAACCGACTGAGCCACTCAGGTGCCCCTAGACTTTTAGATAAATCTTAAAGCTTTCTAAAACTTCAGCAATAAAGAATTAATATACTTTGAAACTTATTTTTTAAAGCAGGTACTATTGTATCTTTGTGTATTTTCAAAATGATTTTTAAGGAATACTTTCTAATGTTCTTATTTTTAGGCTGATCTTATAAATGAACTATATCAAGGCAAGCTGAAGGACTACGTGAGATGTCTGGAATGTGGTTATGAGGGCTGGAGAATCGACACATATCTTGATATTCCATTGGTCATCCGGCCTTATGGGTCCAGTCAAGCATTTGCTAGTGTGGTGTGTACCTTTCAGCTGACTGCTTGTGTATCCATACACAGAATACATAATAGCACAGTGGTATAATCTATTGTGAGGTAAGTATCATCCTAGATACACCTTCTTGGGTTGTTAGTAATTCCTGCAATTAAACTACCAAGATCTAGAAGATTTTTGACCCTTCAGTGAGTCCTAATAGTGCATGTCTAAAAGGGAAAGTGAATGCAAATGTACTGCCTCATGGTGTAGTATTTTATTCTTTCTGAAAGATGACTAGATTATTTCACTTTATACTTTTTCCCTATAAACAGTCTGTTTTATAAACAGACCACTGTTTTGTGATCACTTTTTGTATCAGAAAGTACTTTTTGTTTTGTGTGCCTACTTTCCTATATTTTTTAAAACTGAGAAAATAACCTCAGGTTTTTATGATAAACAGATGCCACATTTTTTTAAAGGAACCATCCCTATTCTTTAATTTAAAATCATGCATTGTAGAAGCACATTAATTTGAAGAATCAGATGTAAACTGATTAACTGATTAAAAATTAGCTTAATTATTTATATACTGAGAAACCACTTGGGAGATTATCTAAGATTTTCTCATTCTTCCTCTTATTTATATCTTACTTGCTTTTTGATAATTTTATTACTGCATTTTATCGTATTTACTTACACAAAAGGAGAGCCATGGAAAGAGTTAAGTTGATTTTTTAAATTACAATGTCTAGAAACATTTATTCTGAATCTGTTATGATCCAGGGGACACTTTCAGAGCCATCTTGTTTTGGGCCTTATATATGTTGTTCTCAAGCTGATGGTGGTTTGTAGCTAAAATCAGTGTTTTTAAAGCTAGTCCATACTTTTATCCTCTAAAATAGTGTTTCAAATATGGTCTGGTCCTCTGGCCTCTAGGACAATTATTTTTCTTTGCTTTTTTCTTATACTTTCATATGGCTATCAGGAAATTATAAGAAATTATGGAATCAGTTCATGGGAATCCAAAGTAGAAGACCTTTTCTGTATAGTGTAAGATTAAGTCTTCTTTCCTGCACTGTGTTTCAGCCCCTTTCCTGAAAAGATTTGAGAAATTTTGTTAATAGCACCCTTTGTAAATTGCCATTCTAGATTTAGAAGATTGGCCTTGGTGTGAGTGGCTAGTTTTGTTTAGTTTTTCATTTTTGTTTTGTTTCCTTTTTTTTTTTTGAAAGTTTAAGGCAGAAGTGGCATATTGAAAAATTAATTATTATTTGTCTTTTAATGACTTATTTCCTAATCATTTTTAAATATTGGCGCTTTAGCAAATACGCTAGGTAAATATTTGGTAGTCTCAGGTGATCAAGACAATTTTTTCTGCTTTGGTTTGGTTACAAAAGTATTTTTTATGAAAGATTTTTCACTTAAGTGTTCAGTTTAGTTTTTTTTACATATTGAATGTTGAGGAAACTGGTGCTATTTGTTTTGTTATATTGGCAAATATTTGAGTATTCAGCAAGTATAATTGCTTAGCTAAATCTTTGTGTCATCATTTTTTCACCTGCTGAATTTCCACCACTTTCTTAAGTACGTTATAGACATAGCAATGGAGTGATTTGGAGGATACTTCTGGAAAAGTGAAAAAGACACATTTCTAAATGAAATTCTCCAAAGGTAGTATCCTCCATTGATACATGGATAGTGGTGGTGGTGAGTCAGTGGGAATTGGAAGCACTAGCTATGAAGCAAGTATGTGAGCAGTTTATATTAACACACATGCGCTAATAGGGCTTGCAGAAGGGAACTTAAAACTTGCTAAATTTTGCTGGAATCTCTTTAGGGAAATTACAGCAGGTAAACTACCCAAGATAGGGGTTCTAAGGAGGATACTACCTTCAGAGAACTTTAGTTATAGGTAAGTAAACCTATTATTCCCATTATTTTCTGAATTCAAAACTTATAACCTACACTTTTGAAGCCACAGAAAGCATCACACAGGCATCTAAAATTAGTTTTATATCACTGCTTGCCATTGTGTATTTTGTTAATTCTATGTGTTTTTAAAGAAATTAGGTAGAAATGTGGATTGTAAAAATTTAGTTAAATTTCGTCCAGACTGTATATAATATTTGGCATAATTTGAATTGAACTCTTTTAAAATTTATTTTCCTATTTTATTAATGGACTCTCATATTTTTGTCTTCTTGGATATATGCACACACAAACACACATACATACATACACACACATACATTGACAGTTCTGTGTTCTGTTTACTGTACATTCTTTTCAGTGAGCCACAATATAATAGATCGAGAGGTTAACACCTGATGCTTAATTTCTGATAATTAAGTGTAAGGTTCTATTAACAAATTAAAGTTTTTTTAACCTTCATCTGAAACATCCAGTTTCTAGAGCTGTTTTATCTCTGTGTTCAAACAAATTAACTTGAGAGTTATTTGAGATTAGAGTAGTAATGGAATTAGCACTTAGATAATTTATCATTATGACATTTATAATAAATTTTTATGGTTATCTTTCAGCATGATTGAAAGCAGACTACTTTTTAAATGAGTGCTAGGAATTGCCTGCAGTTTTATAAAAGCTTTTAATAATATCTTCTTTATTGAATTACATTTTAGTCATTATAGCTATGATATTTATTAAATTTCTGGTCTTCATTTTGCCTGGCCAAGTAGGGAATCAGTGTTTAATGGCTCTTTTGCCATTCTCTTATCTCTCAGATTGAGTTTTTTTTTTTTTTTAGCAATCTCCAACAAGATTTAATAGAAGTTTAGGAGGCTTCTTTGATTAAATTTGGGAAATGGTGTCATTGTAATCTCTTTGAGAAGTTAACAGTACATATTTTATTTTAAGTGCCCTGAGGTTTCCTGTAGTAGAGAAATTTGCTTAACTGTGCTTAACCATTTTCTTTTACTGTGGGACAATTGTTAACATTTTAAGAGACACTAGGATTCTGAGGACCCTCTTTTGGAAAGCTCTGCACTGGATTAAGGTGATTTAAGGATTATTTTTTGTTACATTACTCTTCAGGTTCTTGGGATGTTGAGGGATAGTGTGAATACTACAAAATATGTGTTACAATTTTACTCTTGTTTCACATCTTCTTAATCCTGAAAAATTAATATTAGTTGAAAAATTTCTTTTTTTACCCTTAAAAAAATTTGTCTTAATGATTTGTGAGCTAACTGGAACCTTTTCGTTAATTAGAGCAGTCTAAACAAATCTCTCTAAATTTCATAATCAAAGAAACCTTGAATCTGCTATTGCTAAGCACATTTAAGAATACGTTATTATAATGAGATGGTCCTAAATACATGCTAGTGATACATAAAATTGGAAGTATTAATTTTTACCAACAGCAAAATTTACAAATTAAGCAAAAATGGTATAGCCTCATATAATTTGACATTAACTAAGGGGGAGCTTTTCTATTTAATGGCAAATGTTAGACACTATATTTTTATGTATAGCTTTTGTCATGTAACATATTTATTGAGTTGCCTACTCTGTGTAAGCATTATTATAGACCCATTTTCTATTTGTATACTTTTATTCTTTTACTGGGTAAGTACATTTAAATATCTTTATTATCACAAAATGTATTCAAAAGTCTAAAATTGAGTTTATAAGTGTCTTTGAAAAAATCAGAGTATGTGAAAGATTTCTGTTCCATAAGTAAACATAGTTTAATGATTATTTTAAAGTTTTTAATGCAACTTTAAAAAACTTATAAGTATTTATAAATCATAAGCATTTCAAGTGTTTAGTATGCACAGGTTTATACCATAGGTTCTACCCTGAATTAACAAATGATTTGGACATTCTTAAATGTCTGGCTTAGCCACATAACTCATTTGGATGATGGAGTGGTCCGTATTTGTCCAAATATGTAAACATCACATAAAGAAAAATCTCTTCCACAGACTCTACCCTCATTTTTTAAGGAATTTGTATGGTTGGACATAGTGGGAACCAGTTTAAAAAGTGGGGACTTCTGCTTTCAGGAAGATGGAGTAGATGTACATTGCCCTATTCCTCCTGCTAAAACAACTGAAAGTCTTGAACATTATATATAAAATAAAACATAAGAAGACTCTGAAAGGTGGAGAAAAGGCATAAAGACTAGGGACCTCAGGACTCCAGGAATGACATGGGGTGAGTTCCCTGGGTTTTCTTTTTGCCTAACATAGCCCGAACTTGGCACTGAAGAAGCTGGCAACCTGGAAATCAACAGGGACAGATTGAAAAGCCTTCTATCTCCAGCCAAAAGACCAGGAAAGGAACAGCCTAGCAAGGCAGAAAACTTTTAGGCAGTAACCATTCTGCTCTAGCGAAACACCACAGAAAGACTATGGCCCCTATCTTAACTCATGCCCGCCAAGGCTGAGTTAGGGAGCCCAGACTTAGATTCTCATGAAGTTGTAACTAGGCTTTCTAGCCCCCTGCCTCGGTAGTTTACAGAGAAGGCTAAATAGGTAGGCAGGAGTTTTATCCCTCCTGGGCAGTAACCTTTCTACTACTCTTCTCCTGTTTCCCTGGTTTACTGTCATTGGAGACATGGGGAGCCTAGCCATCACTCCCACCTCATAGTAAGGAGGTGCTTCTTTCTGGCCCTACTGGAATGATGTCAGAAAAGACCTAGTAAAGAGTCAGGATTTTTGCCATATTTGAACAGTAAGGAGAATTGCCCGTTCCCAATGATGGTGTCAGTGGAGGCTGTAAGGGGAGATGTAATGAGACATCCCTTCCCCGCACAGCCAAGATGATATCAGCAGAGGCCTACTGAGCAGTCAGAATCCCAACCCTTGCCCAGCAATAATGAAGAGCCCCTCCCCCACCTCATGTGTCAGCAGAGGACAAGTGAGAAACTTGGACTTCTCCCACCTGGCAGTAAATGAAGCAGGAATCTTTTCTTTCACTGGAGTAGTGTCAAAGGAAGCCAGTAAACCAGAAAATTCAAATAGGGTCTAGAATCTCATAAACCCAAAATGTTTAGGTTTCAATAAAAAAAAAAAAATCAC